TAAAAAATATATATTTTATTGATTTTTTTTACAGAGAGGAAGGGAGAGAGATAGAGAGGTAGAAACATTGATGAGAGAGAAACATCGCTCAGCTGCCTCCTGCACACCCCCTACTGGGGATGTGCCTGCAACCAAGGTACATGCCCTTGACCGGAATCGAACCCGGGACTGTTGAGTCTGCAGGCAGATGCTCTATCCACTGAGCCAAACTGGTTAGGGCGTAAGATTATCCTTAAATTACAAGCACTTTAGGAGTCAGAGCAGTGTGTATAATCAGCCCTCTCACTGACAGAGATCTTGCAGACCCCTAATGCGCTTCTCTTCTCACAGCAGGAAGGACGCGTAGGGGGGAGCGGACCTTCTGGCACAGTGCTCCAGATCTAAACCCGAGGCAGACAATGTTGTATTCACACAACACATACACAACATATACAATGTTGCCTCCCACTTTATGCCTGAGGGAGATGCCCCAAGCTTGCCTGCCCCACACAATCCTGCTCACCTTGTTTCTTTTTTAAAATATATTTTTATTATTGATTTCAGAGAGGAAGGGAGAGGGAGAGAGAGAGAAGCATCAATGATGAGAGAGAATCATTGATCGGCTGCCGCCTGCATGCTCCACACTGGGGATCGAGCCTGCAACCTGGGCATGTGCCCTGACCAGAAGCGAACCGTGACCTCCTGGTTCATTGGTAGATGCTCCACCACTGACTCATGCTGGCTGGGCCCTGCCCACCTTGTTTGTCCAGTCAGCCCATGTGAGACAGGACTCTTCCTATAAGTAATTACTTTTTAAATTCTAGCCAAAGATTCCTTTAAGAATTTGATGAAAGCCATGGACTCTTTTCTGAGAAAAGAACGACATGAACATACGACACTTATGTATAACATTGGTGTGCGCGGAACTCCTCCCTGACTCCTTGCCATCAGGTTATCCCAACCCAGGACCTACAGCGAGAACTGCGTGTTCTCTTCCATCTTTCCGGCTTGCAGAATTCAGAACTCATTAAAGGGACGTGTTGGAGGACTCTGAGTCCATGTTATTTCTGTATGTTCATGTTTCAAACGGTGTGCTGCAGGAGTCTGGAGTTATTTAACAATGCAAGTGCTAGCTTGATAGTGGCGACCTAAGAGGAAACCTCGGGATTGAAAAAGAAGTTAGAGAAGGGGTTTGTGGGAAAGTAATTTCATGCTCCTTTGTTCTGATTGTCCCCAATGAATCTGTGGTCCCCACTGTCGGTTTGAGTCACAACACCTTTATTTCCAGAGGGACTCTTGTGACTGTAGATTACACTACCATTCTGCTTCGGCTTAATGTTTTGAAGCACTATGCCAGAGTGGGCTCCATTTACAAGGGGGAGCTCCTTTTCAAACAGTGAACTCGTTTTCCTGGAAAACTCTTCCCTTTGTATTTGATGAGAAAGGAAAAAAGAAAACAACTGGTCTTGGGAGAGGCTATTTGAGGCTGAAGCGTGACATCTCTCGATGGAGAGAAGGAAGGGCCTTCTAAGTAGGCCACTTTGAACTGCGACATGCCCGAGACCAGTGTCTGTGGCTTCAGAGTGCCTGTGAACCCCCTAAAGGTGTATGCAAAATTTGGGGTGTAAAATATGCATTTTTCTTAACAAAAAATTAGAAAAAGGTCCAGCGCTTTCATCAGGTCCTCAGAGGCTTCTTTGCTCATGAAAGGTTAAGGTCCACTGGGTTGGGCCTGTTTTCTCCAAGTATTTGAGGGAAGATGACCTCCAGCAGAACCACTGGGGGAGCTTGTTGAACACTCAGATTCCGGGGCTCCCCCCCTCCCCCCAATCTTCTTCATCAGAATCTCTAGGGGTGTGACCTGGAACTCGGAATCTTTAACAACTTCCCCAGGTGATGTGGTTACATTTTTGAATTAGCTAGGAGGTTTCAATTGTTTAGCATCACTGGTTAGACTAAGACCAACAATGACAGTGCAGTGCCTATATTTACCCAAATAGGGCTGCGTTCAAATCCCAGCCCAATTACTTAATAGTTATGTAACCTTGACAAATTATGAACCCCTCTGAACCTGAATGCCTTCATGTGTAACTGTGGGGCTAAATAATTTACCTGACTTGAGGTAATATTGCCCATGCTTAGTAGGAGTCCAAAAAATACTTACTGGTCCTAGCTCCTCTTAAACACTGAGTATTTCCCAAACTCTCCAGGTCCAATGTTGTTTTCTTAAAAATGCCTTATGAGGCTCTCCCTCCTCCCCCAACCCACAAAAATGTTGTCATTAAAAAAACAGGTTAATCATTGTCCACAATGATCCACCATCCATGTGTAAAGG